TGGCATGGTCATCCCCCGAGGGGGTGATTTCACTTCCGCACCGTCTCTGTCTCTCTCTGTGGTAAGCAATATGCACCTTATAGCAAAACCAAAAAATGAAAGGATCTAGGCCGTGTGCAGGAGAGCCACAGATTAGCGGCGAGAGCCACTCCAGCCTTGGCCTCGGCCTGCAGACCTCCGTGAGGGCCTTGCCAGGCTCATGCCTCCAAACCTGGTCCTGGCCTGACTCTCGACCCTCCTCCTGACACCCTCACTTCCGGCCATCCGTGCCAGTCAGAGCAGCCTCGTTCACCCCACGCTGGCCTGCTGCCGTGGTCCGGGACTCACGCGTCCTCGGGATCAGGGCGCCCCAGCTCTGCCTCTGTCTCCTTGCAGATGTGGGTAGGAGAAAGGTTTGGTTTTGAGGCACTGTCATCGGGGTCCCTGTCACTCACAGACGATCCCGTGTCTAACTGAGACACACGGTGAGACCCGGGGAGAAAGCCTGGGGCCTAAGAGGGGCCTGTCACCTCCCAGCTGGCCACAGCCCCTCGCCTTCTCCGGTCATCCCCTAGGCTCCATGGAATCTCGAACCAGGTCTTGACCTCACCTGGCCTTTGTCCCTCACACCCTGGTCACACCTCTCGGGACCCTGCCCTTCCTGGCTCTTCAGAAACCTCGGTCGCGTGCCTCTCCTGCCACTGTATTCTGGAACCTTCTGGCTCTCCACTCTGTGCTCGCTCCTTCCCGCCTGTAGCCTCCCGGCCTCCAGAAGCCCTCTGGTATTGCAGGAACTGGGGTGGATCGGGACCTCTGTGAGGGTAGGCCATGTGTTCCCGAGGTGCCTCGCCTGCCCAGAGGCTGCCCCCAGATCTCTGCTGAGGCCGGTTCACACCTGTCTGCTCACCAGTGCGTCCCCTCTGTCTGAGGCTCCCAAGGGACATCAGGCCGACGTGCAAAGGGGAGCAGCTGGCAGGTGCTCGCGGCGGGCTGGACCTCGTCTGTGTGAGGGTGTGCAGCTGTCCACAGCTGGCAGGGAGGGCCAGCAGGCGCTGTTCCTACCCCCTCATGGCAGAGCCAAGAAAAGGCCCGGAGCGGAAGGGCGAGGGGAGACAGCCCGGAGTGCTCTGGTGGGCTCGGGAGCCTCGGCTCCACTGTGGTTCTGCGCCCGAGTTGCCGCGTGACTCTCATCCCTCCCGGCCTGTTTCCCCCACTGTCGAGTGAGGAGAATGGGCTAAATGACCTCTGAGACTTCCTGGCCATCCAAAGCTGGGCACAGCGCATTTCAGGATGGGTGCCCACTCAGGGGATGAGAGACCGGGAGGCCATCCTGCCCGCCCCGCGCCCCCCGGGCACACACTGTCAGAGTTTTCTTTCTCTTCCCTGCAATCAAAATCAGGACTGCGACCAGCCGACCAGCCGGTGGCGTGGTGGTTAAGGCGGCCTGATCCCACATGGCCTACTGCGTGGTTTGTGTCCCAGACCTGGTGGCTTTGACGTCACACTGGGTGTGTGTGTGTGTGCCCAAAATCCCGAGAGGAGACGAGGAGAAAGGATTGCAGGGTTCCCCCCACCCCACCCCCACGAGTGCACGTGCCCTCTGTCAAAAACTCAGAGCTAGAGAAGACCTTAACGTCTACCCCAGTGGTGGTGAGCTACGCTCCCAAAGGCCTGGCTCTTAGAGGTACCCCAGGGCAAGGAAATGGCTCTGGCCTCACTCCAAGCCAACCAGAGCAGCTCCCCTGTCTGTCCGACACACTGGGGACAATTTTGCAGAAGAAGGCTTTGCTGTAAAAGGGGGAAAAGCTCGGGGACTGTCCTCAGTGCCACCTCTGGTCGCTCCTGGAGGCCTCCCTTGGCGAGGCAGGCCAGCCATCTGGGAAGTTTGGGCCTGGTTGCACAGGGACACCCCTCCCTGTGTCCCCATCCTCTGGGCTTCCCCTCCCAGTATCCCTGCCAGACTTCAGGCCCCCTCCTCTGGGGACAGCAGCAGTCCCTGGGCCTGGAGGGGGTCTTGGTGACGCCGGCCTCTGCCTGGAGGGCCCTGCAGGTAGGAAGGCTGTGTTGGGAGGGGCCTGCAG